CACAGGATAACACAGTGCATTGGTGAACCAGGGAAAGGGACAGATTACCTGATAATCGGAGGACATGCTCCTCATACGTCTATCCCTAACATTAAAATAGGACCAGATGCGTGTGTTGGATTCGAAGGCCTATATATAAGAAAATCATATAATGACAGATTAGCAAACAAAGAAGTATTAATTCACAAGGAAATGCATGTGTAAATGTGCTTTCCTTAATTATTCATACCATTTATCCCTGCAAGCATCCCCACAGCTATGAAGATGGAATATTGCTAGGTTTTTACAAATCACAAAACATAATATGTGCCATGTGAAAGATCATAATATCCCCTATTATTATTTTTTTTAAACTGCTTTGTTTTAATTGACTAACCTGGGGTCTATTTCAGAAATCAGGATTTCTTGTTTAGCCGGATAACTTGCTGGATTTAAGGTTCTCTCAAATGCAAGTGAACATAGATAAATTCCATTTAAACTGGGATACCTTAAATCTGACAAATTATCCGGCTAAGGAAGCAATCATGATTTCTGAAAGAGGCCTCTGTAGATCAAGGTTCTCAGCATAACTTCTTCTGACTCATAGTTATCTAGGTTGAAAATTAGGAAGATCCCCGCTCCTCCACTGCAGAAAATGTCAGCCAATCCTCATAGGCTACCTTCTGACACCATCTTCTTAAAGGGACCTTTACTTTTTCATTTTTTTTTACCTTTATAATATTCCTTTCTTCCATTTCCAGGCAGAGCTAACAGTCGCTTATGTTTGCTAATCAAACCTGGATTATGAGATCTGTACGTAATCAACCATTAAAATGTATAAAACAGAGACTTGCGCTAGTCCATGTGCTTTTTCTTTGACAGAAAACGCTCCTGGTGTTTGAATGTGGGTTAAACTGCTAAGAAAGCTGTACGTTGGCCCCTAGAGACAAAACACAAACATAAGAAAAAGCAGAAATAAAATGAAAATGCGCAGCACAAATATCCCCACTGTGGGATCAATAAAGTCCTATCTATCTATCATCTATCTATCTATCTATCTATCTATCTATCTATCTATCATATATCTATCTATCTATCTATCTATCTATCAAATTAAAAAACACAAACCAACCGAGTGTCCGAAAACCGTAAGTTCGATTCCTTCGTCGAATGGGTTCTTGGACACTCTGTGAAGGGTTTGTGAACCGATCCCAAGAGCCATTGCTGCGTTTACTGCGGAAATGCAGTTACACTGTTGAAAGGAATAAAATAAATGCAGCTGTTCATCATTTATCACAACAGTAAATTATTGCATTTCTGCATAATAAAACTATATGTCTTTCATCAAAAAACAAAGATATTTATTAACTTTGACGTTTACACAACAACGTATGCAAGTTTACTCATACTCATTGTATGTGTATGTGTGATTGTATTGGTAATATTGCAGTTGTTAACTGTGATGTAGTCCTTGACACTCATGCACATGAATTTGGCTAAAGTAAAGAAAATAAGATATATATATATACACGCGTGTTTATTCAGCATCGACACCCTTTCTGCTTTTTATATATTGTTTTTTTTATTGTGAATAGTCAAGCTGAACATTTTTGTTTAACACCAGCCCCATCTTTCAGTCAAATAACGTAACCTTGAGACACCGTTTGATTTATTATCCGATCCCATGATTTGTTGGGCCTGACCATATGATCGTCATACGGTCAGGCGCAAAAACAGACGAAAAAAAAAAATAGTGCATCACAGTTCGAAAGAATCAAATCAGTTAATTGAGTGGAACTTCCCATCACTACTGTGTAGCGACTGGGCCACATGAGCTCACCGCGCCCCCTAGCTTTGTGGAGCACTTCCGGTTTGGGATCGTCTACTTGCAGTGCATTTTCTTTCTGTTTCTGCTTTTTCTTTTGTTTGTCTTCTTTGAATTGCAGCACATTTTCTTTCTGTTTCTGCTTTTTCTTTTGTTTGTCTTTGAATTGCAGCGCATTTTCATTTTGTTTCTGCTTTTTCTTTTGTTAATCTTTTTTGAATTGCAGCGCATTTTCATTTTGTTTCTGCTTTTTCTTTTGTGTTTTTTAATTTGTAGCGCATTTTCATTTTGTTTCTGCTTTTTCTTTTGTTTGTGTTTTTTAATTTGCCATGCATTTTCATTTTGTTTCTGCTTTTTCTTTTGTTTGTGTTTTGTCTCTAGGGGCCACCGTAAAGCTGACATTTCTAGATCTTCCACTATAAAAAGCGAGCCAGTGTACATGAAATATGTGTCCCTATTTGAGTGATTGTGTGTGGCTGTTTTTGTTGCACATTTGAAAGAGATCTTAGTAACACAACCCAGTACATTTTTCCATAAGCAAAATTTATTTCATCCCCATTTAGAAAAGCACTCCACTGTGGCACTAAACATTCACCAGAATTTGCCAAGGATCTTTTGCTATCTGCTGCCAAAAATGTGCTGTTTGATCACTTTGGCTGGTCAATAAACCAGAAAGGCCCGATATTACACCTCAAGAGAATGATGACACTTGGACACCATGTACCTCTTCACTGGATCAATGCCGTTCCAAGAACCTGGGAAGCATTAACAGTCACCATATATATGCAACAGAAAGAATAGGAGCAGTGCTTATTATGATTTCCCATTTGACCACTAGAGGGCGCCAAAATCCATTATTCTTCAGTTTGGCTCTTTTTTCGCAAACACAGTATCAATTTTTATTCCAACTATTTACGAGAGCAATGAGGTCTCCATGCTGGTATGTACCACACCTGTGCAGGAGTGTGGGGTTCCGAAGCATATATAAATATATATTTTGCAGATTACGTAGTTTCCTGCTCAAAGAACCACTTTGAAAACACTGACATCAGATATATTATTCGTTTGAAAGGGATGCTTTTCCCAGTATCAGCGTTTCCCTTTGCGGACATGTTGAGCACTTAATGAAAGCATTCCTGTGAAGCTGAGGTTTACTTTAAAACCAGGCCGTGTTGAACTGCGTGACAGACTTAATAGTGCGATAAGTTCACAATGGCAGAAAAATGCAGCTAATTACTGGGTCCACGTTACAGTGTGGAACTGCTTTTTTGAATAGCCTTCTCAGATTATTTTTTATTCATCCCCTCTTTTGAAAACACGGCACGCCACGGCTGCATTTACCATATGGGCAGCCTTAGCGCGAGCCCAGGGGCTCTGTGTTCAAGGGGCTTTTGACTATGCCAGATTTAAAAAGTCTAATTGGAGGAAGAGTGCAGTAATCAGATACTGGCAGATGTTCACAGTAATTTGCATACAGAAAATACATTTGTGGGTAGTTGATTTGCAGGTTCTGCTACCATAGAAAACGTACCTGCAGATATTAGCAGTCAGGTGAGGTAGCTGCCATCGGGCTTAAGGGGTGACGGGCTCAGCTAATAGCCACTTAGGTTTGAGAAGCTCTTTCATTTTATTTACAAATGTTTGTTTTGATTTTAAAAAAGCGAGGAGAGAAAAGCAGCGAACAGTTTTTACTCGGCGTCAGTTTATTTCCACAGCACTTCGTTTATTATAAAAAAGTAGAAAAAAAAGTTCTCTTTTACAGCAACTATTTGACGATTTATTAATTCAACACAGAAACCACGTTCTTTCTTTAGCAGGTAAAAGGTGAATCCATTTGAAACTTGAAATCAATCCCATGCTGAACCAGAACGACAAGCTTTGTCTGTCACGCAGTATTCTGTCTAAATTTGGGTTTAAGCAAAGTGAAAGACACACCACAGTGCACAACGAAATGCACGCTCTGCATTTCACCCTTACGTGACATAGCAGTGGGCAGCTATTATTGAGTGCTCAGGGAGCAGACCGTGGGGGTGGTAAAATTCAGTCACAAGCATGCTTCCATAATCACGAGGCCACCACTGCCCTAATGGTATTTTTATGGTTTTGTTTGTAGACGTTTCTACGGATTTTACTTTTCTGCGTATGGTAGACCTTCGTCATGGTAGTGCTTTTCCCCTGAACAACCACAGTACCACACTGGAATATATAGACATGTGACCTAGCGAGCCATGTCACCCATTTCACATTAAAGCCAGTTTCCTGACAGAATGACTTGAGTCACATGAGGGATACAGTGGTATGTGAAAAGTCAGCTGCTATCAGTTCATGATTAATATCAGTCAATATCAGCGACATCTATTAAAGCTAAATCTTCCAGATGACATTCTCTTCAAGCAACATCGATACAGAGAGGACGATCCTCCGAGGAAAATGTGCATAAAGAAAAACATGGTTCAGGATTCGAGCCCTTGCACATGTGCACTACACTCCGTGTCCATTCTAAATTGATTCTAACTGCTTTCTTGATAGAAGTAGTGATTTTAATCAACAGAGTAGGAATGCCTATATGCTACCACATCCAGTCTGTTTCCTCTCCCAGCATTGCTTCATGGATGGCATGCATTTTCCCTGAGCGAGACCAGACGGGTAAGCTGAGGGTAGGGCTTGGCAATATGGAAAAAAATTGTCATTATTTCTTTACTTCAAGGAAACGTTATTAAGGTTCTTATTTTTATATTATTTTCAATTTTATTTGAAATCCGGTTTAGCTTTACTTTTCAATGTGGTTTGACTAGTTTTTATTTTATTTTTAAAATATATTTCTGTTTGATTTTTATGAATTTTTGTTTCAGTAATTTAATTCATAGAGGTAGACTGAAAGTTGTTTTATGAGTCTGATCTTTAGAGAATCCTACATTAACACCCAGTGCACAATATGTAGTCATTTCCTGAAAGTGGGTATTATAAACAGTGATTAAAGGTAAATCTTTATTTTAGCAAAATAGTATTTAAAAAAAAACATTATGAGTTTATTTTTATTTCCTATAGTTTCAGAAACAATATTAATAGTATTCCTTTAGCTGTGTTTTTTTTTTTTTTACTTTACCTTTGTATCTTATTTTATTTCAGAATTTGCGAAAATATTTTTTCATAGTTTTAGTATCAGAACAAGAAAAAAGCAACAAATCGAATGAACTGGAAATTTAAATCTCATTTTAATAAATAAATTATACAAAAGTAAACTTTTTGGTGTAGGGTGTAATACTAGGAAACGCTGACAGTATGGTTTGTTGCTAGCTTATTTTCTCTGACTGCCTCACTGCTCTATCCCAGGAATGGGTTTGACATCCCGTAATTAAAAATAAAATGCTGTGCCCCATTTTTAAGTAATACGGGACATGATTTCTTTAGACTTGAAATACAAACCCTAATTGCTTGTGTTTATGCACAGCACCAGTCTGTTGCGTGTTGCATGTTAAACTGCAAAAAGTATCGGCATTCCATCACCGTCTTTTTACCGTAGTTATCCACAGTATCTCCAAAATAAATGATGTTATGGCAGAAGAGCTATTGCTTTCCTCGCTGACACTTCACTGAAACGTCCTCTAAGGATGTGCATTATATTACCGAAACAGTAGCATTTGGCCGCGCTAACTCAGTCAGTGTTTAATTGCATTTGTTGGCCATAGGTTTTCTATTCTTAAAAGAATTCTCTATGATTGGTTGGAAATGCATTCATCTCTGTGATGTGATATGCCGATGTGTGCTATCAAGCAATGTTCCTCATTTTCTTATCATTTAAATTATATACGATAAGTATCACCCAGCCCTACCCAAGGGTATACTTATGAAGTACGTCCTATCCCTGAGTTAATCCACATCCTCAAAGAATGATCTGGTCCTTCCAAACGGCGATGTCCTTCGTGTGACGCCAGTTCACGGAGCTGGTCATCTTCTGGATTTCATGTCTGGCTACAAGTTGATGACTCCTAACATTTGACGCCAGAACAATTTCGCCCAGAGATTGACGCCGAGCTCGTACATGTACTGAAGCTCTGGGGTCAGCATCCTGCGGCATTCCGCGTGCCGCACATCGTCAATGTCCTTCCTCAGGTTGTAGCCCATGATGGACCGATCGCCGAGAGGTTGCCACGGCTGCAGTGTGGCATCCCTGATGCTGTCTGCCTCCACTGCCCTCCCGCCCTCCACACAAGTGGTCGCCATCTCTGCGTTGCGCCGCCGCAGCTCCGCCACCTCGCGGGCCATGCGTTCCCTCCCATACACCTCCACCTTTGCCCAGAAGGTGGCATTGAAGTATCGGTACAGGCGCCAGTCAGCGGCATTCCAGTCTCGTGCCTGCATCCTCTGGTGCTCTGTCATCTTGGAGATGGATGAGTCACGACGCATGTTGAGTCGCAGGAAGAGCAGGTCCTCCAGCTCCCAGCAGAGGGTGTCCTTGAGGAGGATGAGCGACTCATCGAAGTACTCCGCCACCATGACCAGTTGAAAGCGCTTGTCGACTGCCTGGATGGCCTGCTCTACTCTAGGATCATCTGGCTCAAGATTGTTGTCGTAGCCCAGGTCAAAGAGGAGCAGGTTCTTGAGGTAGAAGGAGTTGTACCCATTGGGGCTATAGTAGCGCCAGGGGTCCTTAAGGAATTCAGCCAGTTTCTCTTTGGCAGGGATCACCCAGGTAAGAGGCACCAGGCTGTTGAAGTAGTGGAACGCAGACTCGAAGACGTCGGCGGGGTCCCGCAGGATGGTGATGAAGGTGGCGTCCGGTGGTAACACGCTGACCACCTCGGACTCATTGAAGCGCATGTGGTTGCAGACCATGTTGAAACACATCCCAGGCTGGTAGCCCTTCACCTGTAGCCTGTTGAACATCTCTGGGTAGACAAAGTCATTGCGACTGTTGGGGAATGCGAATCTGAGGCCGTGCTTCTCCCCAAAGCGGAACAGGATGTTGAGGATCGTGCTGCTAGCCGTCTTGTGTGTCTTCATGAACATGACATTCATCTTCGGTGAGCAGCCACTGACTTGCCTGGGTGCACCTTTGGTTGAGATAGTTTTCCCTTTAGTGAGGATCGGGTCTCGGTCACAGGAGGCGAGAACCAACATCCTAAAGGCACAGAAAAACACATGACAGCTATCCCCATTTAATTTGATCTTCAGCTCTGGAAAAAATTAAGAGACCACTCCATTTGTTTAAGAATCTGCATCCTGGTGTAATTCTGGTTCAGCTGGCTGAAGGCTACAGTGTGAGGCAGGCTGCTTCCAGGTTCAAAGACCAAGACCAAGGTGAAGCAGGAGACACTGGAAATAAACAAAAACCAGGCAGGTCGAGGGCAGAACTTTCTAAAGCCAGAGATGACCATCACCTTATCTGACAGTTTCTCATGAATAGTAGGATGACACCAAGTGACCTTCAAAAGGAACAGGAAACGTTAAGCGCAGGTGTGAAGTGCACTCCTAGGACAGTTCATATCAGACTCCTAGAAGCAGGACTGAAGACCCATAAAGCAAGGAAGAAGCCCTTCATGAATGAGAAACAGTGAAGAACCAGGCTGCAGTTTGCAAAGAAATATGTATTATTCATAGATGCAGACCCATAAACTGAAAAATTAGTGAAACAAAGAACTGCATGGTTTCTTAATTTTTTCCAGCGCCGTATGTCATTAATTCAGATGTTGACCTTTCGAAAGGTATCAATCAGATGGTTCAGTGCCAGGCTAATTCAGAAAACTCCTTGATACAGCCCTCCCAGTCGCTAAGGGAATAGATGTGAGTTTAAATAGAATAAAATTATTTAAATAATTGGGTCTCCAACAGTGACCTGGCGCCATGGTCCTAATGGACTTTGGCTGCATAAAGCTGGCGATCAGTTTCTGACCATTTTGGTATTTTTTCCTTCTATTTCAGTGGTTTTCTTTGCTTTGCAAAATCAGGTTAACATTAAACATGAAGTATAGTTTGATCTTCAAACATATATACAAATAAAATATAATTAATGAGTAGTTTGTGGCAGCAGGATGTGCTGTTGTCACACAGGGCTGGCCCCAATCGCACTGTTAGGCAGGGTCATGTGAGGTAGAGCGCCCCCTAGCCAAACACCACTCACAGCAGCTGGCATTGCATGTCCCTTTGTGTTACATTTCAAAAACTCTTGTTTCCTGCCTGCCTCTCATCTTCCTTATTCTGTTTCTTTTGTTTGCGCAGTTGAGTAGCAACTACCCCCACCCCCATTTGTGCACATTGACATTTAAGAATAGCTGTATAATTATTGGATTGGGCAGTTAATTCTTGCAATCTGCATTCTGATTATTGGGATGAAAGCTGTATTTTTGGTACAACAACATTCCTTGGATGGTTGATTAATCTGTAACTAATGAGGTTGGCTGTGAAGGACGGTATATGACTATGATTCTGAGTCACCTATGGTCCAGTAAAATATCCTTTAAAAGTATGTAATGATTCTCCTGTACAAAATTAAATACTGTTTTTCAAAAGTAAATACCCTGTAGAGAACAACCGGTGTGTTATTCATTATACACATCAATCGTCTTCTAACATTAGTATGTGATTAGTGCTGCTTCACTAGCTATCTCTACCTGCTGAAAGAGAAGGTGGGTTGTGCAGAGCCTTTTATCATCCTTCAAAGCCCTTTGCATGTCAACTGTGACAAAGAAAAGGCGAAACCAGGTGCTTATTATTTCTCAGCACAAACTCAGAAGCTGGAACAATGAGTCAGAGTAAAGACAGTGGAATAGTACTGCCTCAGTAGTCGTCCCTCTGAGAACCTGCCTTATAGCCCCCCCACACACACACACACTTCTTCTGGTCTATCTGTGATCTGGATCGCAGTAGCACCAGGACTTACCTCGGGTGATAGACCTCGAGGAGCGGCACTGACATCATGTGGTACAGAAGCATGGCGAAGGTGGTGAGTACCCCCCCCAGGAGCAGACCCCTGCCCCCTGACCGCCATCGTCGCATGGTTCCTGGGGGCTAGCTGTAGGGAGACAATCATAGGTGTCTGGAGGAGGCGTGATTCTGTTCGCATGTTTATCCATCAGCTGGAATGTGAAGCTGTTACGCTGGTTCTGACATCTCCTGGAATGAATCTGGCTTCCGACAGATACAGACCTGCCTGCTTCCTGTTTCGGTCACCTGGCTAGCGTCACTCTACAGCGTGTGCTGACTTTCTTTCCTGTCATGGAAAGTGAGCCTGTCGGTCTCTCTCTCCCCACTCTGGACACCAGTAGGCTTAGGGTTCAATTATCCTGCCCATGACATCACACCCCTGGCCCCTGTGTTTCCAGAGAACCTCTGCTGAACCAGCAACAGTGAGCCTGTGTTCCTACGGCAGCCCTCCTACATAACTTCACTACCTTTTCACAGGAAGTTGTGAAAAAGAAACTCAACTAATCGTCACAGTGATCCAAGTGGACATAGGTACATCTCCCTCTGTTCAGATTGTCAATCCTCTTATGTTAAACACTTTCTTCTCTCAGGTTCTCCTTCGTAAGTTGTCCTAAACTCAAAGCAAACATGAAACCACCAAGTCCACCAAACTCCTGCGTGAGAAGAGAGAGACAGCCAGTTTCACACTGAGCCGCATTAAGATATTTAATAGATCTTGGAACCAGTGGAGCAAGCTGCATAGCATGGATTGCCACATAAGTAACGTGAACCAGATTAGCCTTGTAAATCCAACTTGAAGGCATCATCAGACCTAAGAAAATGTGGCTCTTAAGTATAGTTATGGTTTACTCTGATGGTGGTCCTGTCCAGAGCAACTGCTGACCAAGCCTCTGGTTTTATGACAGCTAATCAGCAGGTCCAGGTCTTTCACTGTTTTGTACCTAAACTGCATGATCTAGACCAGGGTTGTCAAACAACAGTCTTGGGGGTCTTTGGTTTAGCCTCATTTAACACACCTGATTCGACCCCTTGTGCTAATTACCACACAGCTCTTGAGTTGGATCATTTGTGGTGCAACACAGAAAGAAGTAAGCTACACCTACAACTAAGCTCCGGCCCCCCAGGACTGGAGTTTGACATTCCTGATGTAGACCAATTTCTCGGTAGCTGCTTTTATTTTCTTCTTCCAAACATGTGGAAACTTTGACCTGGCCTGTAATGTCGAGCATGTTTTGGATTGTTGTATAGTGAACCCTCTACAGGACATTTTGACAGCTCTCTCCAGTGCTACCAGAGCATCTCAAGATGAGACAGTGCAGGTGACATGCCTTTTCCTGGGGGCCAGAGACCCAGCCCCTAAAGTCCAAGAGCTATTCTATTTCTGACACCAAGGGGAGGTATCAAACCCTGGACTCCTCCTCACTTGTGATTTCATGTATTTAGCAGATATTTTTATGCAAAGCAGGACCAGTCCTAACACACGAGCCACACAACGCCCACCTTTCAAAGTTTCATGGAATGCTACCTTAAGAAACAGCAACATTTTTTAGAGGTTTTATTGAATGCTACCTTAAGAAACAGCAACATTTTTTAGAGGTTTTATTGAATGCTACCTTAAGAAACAGCAACATTTTTTTAGAGGTTTTATTGAATGCTACCTTAAGAAACAGCAACATTTTTGAAAGTGGATTCATAAAGCCCTCCCAATGCCCATCAGCCCAACGCTGATGCTCATGGCATCACTTTGAAAAATGTGCTAAAAATACTCTCAAACTCATGTTTCATTGGAAGGAACCGTGCGCTTGACTGCAATGTCTAGTTTTTAGTGAATAATGTCTAACACTGAAAAATATTGTTCAGTAACACTTAAAACACGTTTTGCCTTGCACAACCTTAACGCATGATAACCATCTCTCTCATACTCAAACACACCCTGTACATATGCCCACGGCAGTCTGCAAATAGATAATTTAAATGAGAAGACAGTTTTCTTCAGTGTAACAGGCTAATTTTCCACCGACCAAAACTCTCAAAAGCTACTACAAATTCAGACACACTGTCCTCAGTAACCCTTTTCCAGTGTCTCTGTTTGTCCCCGCATGGCCTCCGTAACTAAGCAGAGCATTTATACATTTACATACAGCCCTGGTATCTACTTCTATCTCTTGCACACAATCCCATGTTGACCATTTCCACTCTACAACTTAGCTCAGCACACAGCGACCTAAATTACGGATAATCAAACAGGGCATGTCTTTCTGGACATGAATCTTTTGTAATAAAAGTATGCGAGTACTGTATGCACTAACTTAGATTAATATCCAATAAATTAATGCAAGTATTAGTACATTTGTCTGTGTGTATCTCAGGCTGAAAAAGATACAAAAGATTCCACCTGCACTGTTTTGCTCCCACTTTTCCTCAGAGTAAACTCTCCATATGAAAACTTCTGCGTTGTGTCAGTTCTCAGTTGTAGAATCAATTAATTTACTCAGTTAACACAGAGAGGGGAAAGCAGATCTGGTCAGACCAAACAGCCTTAATAACCCCGTAATGTCTTTGTTTTCCCATATATGGAAAATTAACCTTTTCCCGGATGAACTAGGTATGGAACTTTCAACACCCCACATACAGTAGCATACCTATCTTTTCAGCATAGCCAGTCAGCCGTATCAACACAATCAAACTCTCAGTGTGACTGTATTTCAAAAAGCTACTTTACAACCGTTGCCCCTGACTACAAATCACTACAAAACCAGGTGCCATATTTATTAAACACTAGAGTGGCAGATTAAATAATGTCTAGAAAGGACATAGTGACTATTCCTGGAACAACACTTTAGCCTCTGGTAATGAGAAAAGTTACCTTCGGTGCATTAATCCTTCAGGAGCAGCCAGCAGACCTTTAGAGAAGATCAGCTTTGTTGGCACTTGTATCAATCAGACAGTTTCCTTTCCTGGCTCATTGAGACGTCTTGATTCACACACCTCTTCTCTCTCCATACCTCTGTTTAAGCTGAGCCTCTTACATCACTTTTGACTCCGAGAGGCGGTCTCTCTTCGTGAACGTCCGTACATTTGGGTGTGAATACTTCCCTCTGTCTTTGAAAAAGATAATGTAGTAATGACCAAATAACCTGGAATACTCATAATCTCTTATAAAAGACTTACAGATGCCTTTATCATGAGGTTCAATGGTTATACTTAAAAGCAAACCTCTCGTTGGAAACGGCTTTCAGGTTTTTCTGCGTTGACATGTTGATGACATAATTACCATACTTCTTCTTCCTAGAACAGAAAAAAAGGCTTTGCTGCTGGCGGCTACAAAGACCGGTGCGTAAACGCAATAACATTTCCAGTAGTATAAAAGTCAAAGAAATTGTCACCATAGCAATAAACAAAAATTGGGGAAATTAATAATTACAGTTTGGGTTGCAGTAGCATCTACAATTTAAAGACTGACAATCGCAGAAACATTTAACATGGTGACTCTGAATTCCACAAAATTCCTTTTCAGGATTCAGGGACCTTGCAGCAATGTTTCGAGTAGTGAGGTAAACCCAGTCCCTGACTGACTAAAGAACATAAATAAATAGAGCAGAGAGAACTCTTGGAGCAGGAAACTCCATGACCAGCCGTGCTTTCTCGTGTCCTGCAAGCTGAGATGCATCCCCTGGCACAGCACAGAAACCACTATTCACGTGCTCGATGGCTATGTTTCAATTCAGACCAATGGGGCTGCAGGCGGCATCTGGATCACATACACAGAGCTTCTGTTTCAAGGTCTAGGAGGGGTCTGTTGCTGTGTCCAGGAGCGGCATGGCTAACCGGAATTATTTCGGTACACCCAGCTATACGTACGAATAAGATTAAGTTAATTGGGATAAATATGTCAAATAAATCTGCAGGTACCTTCTGCCATAGAAACCAGGATTGACCATGATACCCTCTGGAATCTTAGTCAGTTTCCACCTCTGGTCAGCCAAGGTCATCTGTCGCAAGATCGGTCATATTTACTACACAAGTCCTCTAAACTGTTTTTCCAAAAACAGTAAATGTTTCCTTTTGTGACTTAAAAGCCTCTATGGAAATAATTCAGAGATACCTGTAACATGAGCCATATTATACGCTTTATCTCTAGATAAAATATGTATATTTTTATGAATTATATTTAATGCTCAGTCAGATGAGATTGATTCATATTGTTTTCATCCTTAGAGTGTTTTATTCAAAACTACCCTTTCAGATGCAAAACTGTAGCCAATTTCATCCAATACATCCATTTTCTGTGCCGTTTGTCCTGTTCAGCGTAGGGGGGTCCGAAGCCTATCCCGAAATATATGGGCACAAGGCAGGGAAAAACCCTGGATGGGATGCCAACCAATTTCAGATTGTAGCCAATTGAAAAACACATTTTTCAGATGCTGATGCTGTTTTGTATTCAGGACTATCTCCAAGGATGGGCAGGGCCCAGAGTCCAGCTAAGGTCAAGCTAAACCAAGTCATGGAATTCATTAGATTAAGTGTATTTTGCAGGGTGTACTTATTAAAAGTGTAATGGTATACAAACTTAAAAATTTGGTACAAACCTCGGTTTTGGGTTCACAGATTGGTGCAAAATAAAATTTGTATTTAAATAATTTATTGTTGTAAAACCACTTATTTAAAATAAGTTTTCAAAAAACAAAAATCTTATTAAAAAAATCACAATAAACTACATCACATTTTCTCTAATACCGACTATTTTTTTCATTTGTTGTGTAGGTTTGGTACATCATTTTCAGATTGATACACACAATAAGATGAATAAATTAATTTCTTGACCGGGGCAAACCTAAATTCACAACATGGACACCGATTACAGCTCATCCTGTTTACAGTCAGTCAAAACACTGGTCAACAGTCATTTTGCTACTGGAGTTCTGTCAGCTGTACCTTATCAAAGTACACATGCTGACTCTAAATCTGAAAACCGTTTTTGTCTATCACGTCCCATTTTTAAGTTATGGGTCTGTTTGTGATTATAACATTTTTGTCGATAACGCTGCCGTGAAGCGTCGGTAGATTACTGGTTCCGTAACACAACATTGAATTTTGGACTATAATCGATTAAATATGCCACTAAATTGAAATTTTATACTAAAACTGATTGTACTGACTTTTTACCTGTGAATTTTGACATTTTTATTGCTTTTGTTTTAGACGATATGAACAGGCGAGGTTGTGTGAACCATCCTGATAACTTCTCTTATGTCTGCGGACAATTTACTGCACAAGATCAGCGAAAGAATCTGTCCAGCAGACTTAGAAGTGCATACTACCATTATTTTGGTTGCAAAGTTGGCAACCAAGATAAAGCATGGGCCCCTCATGTGTGCTACTCCAGTTTAACACAGTGGCTGAATGGCAGACGGAAAAAGATGCCATTTGCTGTACCAATTTGTGCTGGTTGTTCAGAATTTTCTTGGTAACCATAGTTCAGAGAATTATGTTGAGCTTGTGGAGAACATGTTGACAGTGTTTCAGGTAATGGGTGCCAGAATGTCACTTAAGATGCACTTTTTACATTCCCACCTTGACTTCTTCCCACCTAATCTTGGTGATGTCAGCGATGAGCATGGGGAGAGATTTCATCAAGATATGAAGATGATGGAAAGCAGATATTAGGGAAAGTTCAATCCCAGTATGATGGGAGACGACTGTTGGTTCTTGCAAAGAGAGACGAATGTACAGTACAAGCGTAAAAGCAAGTGTCTCAAACATTTTTGAACATGCTGACATCACTTGTGTGAGTTAAGATATGTGTATATATGGTGTAACATGTACTCTTTATGTGTGTTGATGTTTGTTTTCAGTGTAAAATCCTTAACACAAGTTTGGTGGGACATAGTTCATAATAAAAAAAATTGTGCCAAACAGCAAATTATCTTAAACGTCAGCAACGTGTAGCTCAGAAACCATACGTGATAGCTGAATTTTAATTACAGATCTGAAATCAGCATAAAACACTTCTCAAGTTCTCAGTAGCAAACAAAAAGTTTTCTTTTGTTGACCAGTGTAATTGGCGATTTGGTTATCCAAATATACCATGCAGCTTCGAACAAGAAATCTGCATGAAAGTAAAGCAGGGGGGGAGGTTCCACGAAGCAGGATTTCTCCGTTAGCTGGGTTTAACTTAAATTAAGTCCATTTAAACTGTGATACCTTAAATCCGACAAGTTACCTTGATAAGCTTCGTAGTACAGGCCACTGGACTTGGCACCTCATTTGCCTCCGAGTTGGACCAAACTAGTCTCAATTGTTTGTGCCATGTTTGTACCGTTTAAAAATGTTAGTTCTGATATTATTTATGAGTTTATCTCTTTTGGTTTATGTCATTACATAATTGCCTTTATCACGGGGCAGACCGGGTCCGGGGGATAAAGATGCAGAGCAAACGAATCCAAAACACACACAATCACAGATAATCTGTATCCTGTACTACGAAACGGGGTTACTGGTTTATCGGGGTAACTTGTCGGATTTAAGGTACCAGAGTTTAAATGGACTTCATATTCGTTCATTAACATTTTGCCCAAACTACCTTAAATCCGACAATTAGTTACCCCGATAAGCCAGTAATCCCGCTTCGTAGTACAGGCCACGGGTCTGGGAGAACACACACCAAAGTCACACAGGAGGGAACTCAGGAGAGAAAGCGGGGCTAAAACCGGTTTGACAGATTAAATACCTTCAGCAATACCGGAACACAGTATTCCGACAATTGTGATCAGGCGAGGGGGCGTGGCTGCGGATAGCAATCGGCTCACACTCTCGTTTCTCATGTGACGTAATAAACACTGCGGTCAAGCAGTACGCGCTTTACCAAAGCATGGACAAATCTTTCGTGCTTAAAATGTGTAGTCACCCATAGACGTAACATTACGGTATCACATCGCGTTTAAAAAAATAACACACAAGCGATCGCGCATAGGAAAATGGTTTAAGATTTACACATTGTCATATGTATAAAGTACAGGATGTAGTAAAATACAGTGAAATTCTTGTTTTTCCATAATGCAAAAAACATGCCTTATACCATCTGAAAGACAAAGTTCTAGGCTATTTCTACACAAAACTTGGTTAGCTTTTGCTGTACCATTATTTAAATGTTTAATGCCATTTGAAACGCAAGGTCCCAAGCTATTTGGTCAACCATGGATAATATGCGCATAAAACCATGGATTTCAAAGTAATTTTTCTTGATAATAGTACAAAAAAGTATAAGGTATAAGACTTGTTCGTTGCATTATGATAAAAATCATTCTATTTTAGTACATCCTGTACTTTACACATAAAACAGCTCTATCGCTAGACTCGTAAACTCCTAAACTCGATCTGATACCGTAATGTTACGTCTATGCACGCACCTCCCATTTTATTAAAGGCGGATTATTTTATAAAGCGCGGATTATTTGACCATGTATCAGACGGGCGCGGACAGCTTGACCGCAGTAAATAATTGGGGGGACGTTTGATCTCTTCGTGACAAAGCCCGAGTCAGATACCACATTTTAGAGTCGTACTGAATAAATTCAGATTCTCAGCTGCTCTCACCCATTTGCGTTTTAATTATGTTGTATAATTTGTATTTTGTTATAACTATCTTCACTTTGTGATTGTTCTTAATATTTTTGGAACATGTTCCGTTTTGAGGAAGCACAATGATCTGAAGATTAAAATGCAAATGACCGCTGCTGTCATTAAATGTAAAACCGTTTGTGCTTTAACTTTTTATATTTACTGTGTCTTGTATATCTACCTTCATTATACTGATGACTGGCATCTCGCTTTTTTAATGTGAAAATCTTACGTACCTTTAGGATAGTCTTCCAAAGCCTATAACTATTATATTTTACTTAAATAATAATAATAACAATAATAATAATTTAAGTAATAAGTTAATGGATTTAAATAATGATCACAGCCAGCACTTTTCCCTTTTTTTAAGTTGACTGATTGGTGTACTAAGGTGTTTAATATTCAGAGGATTGCATTATGTGCAGCTAGGGTACATTGAATACGCTCCACCTGCCTGTCACTCTGAAGAAGAAGGGGGGCGGGGGGTGCTGTGGGTCTTCCCCAGCTGCCGGTGTTCTGACAAAACGTCCTACTTTATCAAAACATCCTACCGTAGTGCTAATCGATAGCCCTAACCCTAACTATTACCCTAACCCAGTGGTTCTCAAAGTCGGTCCTCAGGCCACACTGCCCTGCTTGTTTTCCAGTTATCCCTGCCCTATACACACTGTTGATTACCTGGATCAGGTTTGTTCAGTCAATCAGAAACTGAAAGACAGCTGGGACTTGTGTGTGGGGCAGGGATAGCAGGAAAACAAGCAGGGCAGTGGGGCCCGAGGACCGACTTTGAGAACCATTGCCCTAACCCAGTGGTTCTCAATCCTGTTCCTGGTGCCCCACCTGCCAGAATGTTTTCATTCCAACCCTACCTTAATCACGCTTATATGGTCCTTAATAGGCTAAAGCTGGTTACAGACCGAACGCGGCATGCGCTGTGCTCGCCGCGAGGCATTGGCGCAAAAAGTAGGCGTGGTTTTCAAAACTCTCTCCTGTCATTTTGGCTCGTGGTCAGTAGCGACAATGTATATTTCGCATTCAAAAAGATTCTACGCTTGTGTGATATAGCTCTGGGAACTCAGCCACGGACAATTTAAGTTTTTCCTCCATTTCGTTTTCTGTGCCCGGTTCGGTGCCTTGTTTCTATTGATCGCGAGACAATGTGTCATAGCGCGCAGCGGGCAAAGTTCAACAAAGTTCATGTTTGACCACAGTGCTCGCACAAGCTCCGTGAGCGGCGCGCGGCACGGAGCGCAGCATAGTGTATGCCGCGTTCGGTCTGAAACCGGCTTTGGCCTATTAAGGACCATATAAGCCTGATTAAGGTCGGGTTGGAATGAAAACATTCAGGCATGTGGGACGCCAGGAGCAGGATTGAGAACCACTGCCTTAACCCTAACCCCCTAAAACCTTCACCGTAACCCTAATCCTAACCCTAACCCCTAAAACCTAACCCTAATCCCAAGATGGTGGAACTGCACATGCACGGAAAGGCTCGATAGCACATCTTAATAGGTAGGATGTTATGACAGAACACCAGCACCTTGACATTTCTCCCCCGGTTGCTGTGCAGCTCCTCTGGGGCCCCGGAGCGGCGCAAAGACTCCTCGCAGAACTTCACTGCCATGGTGGTGGCACTCCAGTTGGGAATGGCGTATGCCTTGGGACACTTCATGAAGTAATCCATGGGTATGAGTAGAGGTGCACCAATCCCACTTTTTCTGTTCCAGTCCCGATATCTGAACAGAGGGTATCGGCCGATATGAGTAACGATCGGATACCAAAGCTCCTTTTGAACTACTAAATTACTAAACACCAACTGAAAAAAGAGTATGCCAAAAAAGCTTTGTTAATTAGGCTACTATAAACATACATAATGTACTGTTCCACTTCGTTCGTACCTCTTGTTTTAAGCGTTTTGGAGTCATTTACTGTTCAGTTTGAATATAAGAGTATATGCAGTTGGCGAATGCTTAAAATGCCCCACAATATTCTCCCACTGGCAATGTCACTTTGGTCTGCAGCCCATGTATCACAAGCTGTAGCAAGTATGCAAAACAGCACAAGCTGGCAACTCCATTGGGAAAACATCCATTGATTTTTCGTATTACTCATTCTCTCTCGCACAATTGTGTATGCTTTGTTTAGTGGGATTTTCCACTAAACACTACTCTCACCTCTCAAAACTTGTTTACAAAGATTGCTAATCGCTGTGAAGCTAGTTGTTTTAAGCATAGAATACTTCCAGGTCACAGATGTTTGTCAGTTTGTTTTGCAAATATGCAAGTCTCTTTGTATCATCACTTTCTCATTTGATGTTCTTTTGCTCATCCTACTGCAAAGTTTAGTTTACTTTAGCTCATTTGTCATATGTATGTTAACACTACAATGAAATGTGCTGGATGAGAGAAGTAACAAGAAAAGTCTCTCAGCATCGGAGAAGATAAGAAAAGAAATAATAAAAACAGGTCATAAATAATAGAATGCATGTGTATGTATACTTGGGGGGTGGGCACAGGCAAACTGCAGTGTTGCACATTGGAGAAAGTGCTGTATGTAAGTATCAATAAATTAGGGTGACCAGATAATCCATGTCATCCCGGACACCTTGAGCTATTTCAGGTTTTACAAACTACCTTAAATCCGAAAGGCTCCTGCGCTTGGCTAAATTGTTACGTTCTTCTTGCGCTTTGACTGGTTTGTTTTCTTGACTGAAAGATTCATCCAGCTGTTTCACATTAACATTAAAGACATATGCATGGTTATAGGAGACTGACCAATCAGCACACAACAAGAACTCGGTGCTTAAGTGAAATCCAGGTCCTTTTAATTGAAATGATAGGTTACAGATCCTGTCCTAGCTCAAGGTGTCTGGGATTACATGGATTATCTGGTCACCCTACAATACATAGCACATAATACTACCATAATACCATCGATACACAGTGGTTACACAGTTAATAGAGTAAACAGAGTTTTGTGATATATTGGTAACAGTGCAATGTGGAATGTTTAAGTGTTGGAGTTCAGGATTCTGATGACCTGACGGTAGAAACTGGTCTTGAGTCTGGTAGTCTGGACTAGTGATCCAGTTAGGGTATGCACATGATGTCACAGTAAGCAGAAGCCACAGCCTTCACAACCACTGAGTGGCAAATAGACTGAGTGGCAGCGTTTGCGTTCAGCTTGAATGCTGCAGAACTAAAATGGGAAAGAGCTGCCGTGCAATTGATTGTATAAATTGATTTAACAAGAAATAGGGGCTCTTTTTACAGACTGCTGCAAACTAAATAAGTAGGTATCGGACATGGATCGGTCGCATATGGCCGATATCCGAAACATCTATTAAGTATGGATTGGTGCACCTCTAGCCATGAGTATGTAGGGTTTCCCAGCCTTCATGCGGGATCCCCAGGATGTCCACCCCCACGCACTCCATGGGGGCACCCACCAGAGCCCAGCATTTCCTGCTAGGACCCTTAAGAGCCTTGCTCTTCCAGGGTGTCCCATTGGGAGTGGTAGGCCTCGGTCTCTGGGCCAGAGGCTGAGATTGCCTCCCAGTCCAGTCGCCCACCCTCGTCCAGCCATTACCTAACCCAAACCCTAACCCTAACCCTGGCCAGCATGGGGTCGCTGTGCTGCTCCATGATGAGCTGCTGACAATCGACATCCTAACAGGCCTCGTTGTCAAGTGCTCTGCAGGGGGCAGCTGCCACCACGGCAATCTTATCCTGCTCCTCCACTCTGCAACTTTGGCGGCAGCTCACGGTGAGGCAGAGCCAGTGAGACAGAGCATCCGCATTCCCATGCAGCCTCCTCGGGCAATGATGGACCTGGAAGCTGAACTCCACTAGGACCACTAACCAGCGGGTGAGCTGTCCCTCTGGGTTGCAGAAGCTCAGTACATAGGTATGGGACGCATGGTCCATCCACAACCAGAACTACTGAGCGCAGAGGTAGGGACAGAAGTTCTTACAGGCCTGCACCACAGTGGCAACCCCCGTTTGGTCACACCAATAGTGCTAGTAGCCACTCCAGAGGTCTAGGGAGCTGAATCATGTGGACCGAGTAATGTAGTCCAGCTCGTCAACCATCCACAGCAACGGATAGGAGTCCTTGTCGAGCTCGGTGTGGATGAAGACGGACGGGCTAGTCTTCTCCCTTATCAATTTGCTGCAGCAGGGAAATGGGTTGGCGGTCTTTGTTCCTGGCAGCGAAGATGTCCTGGAATAAGCTCAACAAGAGCTTGAGTTTGTCCCACTGCTCTGCCATTAAATCCTGACTGCTGCACTGCCACAGATCCTGCACAGCCTGTGCCCTCTCAGAAGATGGCCCCACTACGACCCTGCTGTTCCCCGCGGTCCTGGCTGGAGATGTGATTGTGTCGCTGGGGGACCCTCCTTCAGGAGCTGTGGGTTACCTTTTTACCCCACTGCACAGATGTCTTTCCTCCTCTTTTCCTCCGCCGCTGAACCTGGCCCCCACCACTGCTGTTTTGCAGTTTGCAGACATATCCTTCAGATTCCTGCTTTGGCTGCAGAGAACGTCATGCCCACTGTAGCCCTGCATAAATCTAAGGTGAAAACTACCTACATTTGATGATGGTTTCTAAAGCAAAGTATTGCTCAAAAGCAATAAATGTTGCTTCTTTTTAGACACAATTCATTACAGTATCCGGTAGTTTCCAAGCTCTTCACAGATCAGCAAACAGACACAGCATTCTCTGCAGACATGCAGGCATACTACATGTGTAAGAATACTGGATGTATTAGAAACTTAGCTAGCCAGAGGAATGTGACCGTATGATTACAGATTGTAATCCTGAATCCACTTCCACACTTGAACACCCTTGAATAAACATCAGCCACTGAGTTCTTTGTGACTGCCTTCGACAACACAAACAAAGGACATTTATCCTCTCAGGGCAGAACACAGTGTCTTCTCAACAAATATAAAAAAAACTCCTGGCCTCCATTTTAGTAGTTGCTGTGCATGGGTTGTGTGAGGGTGTGCCAAGCTCACAGATAGGTGGCCTTTACTTTGCAGACCATTTACATGCACAGAAAGCTATATAACACACTAAAGAAAATGGAAAAGCCAGAAACACGATAGGTCTGTTTTTTGCTGAGCAGTCAAATTACCCCTTGTCAGCTTCCTCTTCTGTCCTCTCTTTCTTCCATCTTTCTTCTTCATACTGTACATTAACATTCATAATGTACTGCCTAACTGGGAAATTCATGTACTCATCCCATTTTGGGGGCACTTTAAGCTCCTCATACTAGCAGCGGGACGCGTGGTGGAACTAAAACCAGTGCCATGCTCACGCTGACAGTGAGCGCAGACAGACCAGGGGGGGGACGCCCCCATAGTGGATTCCTGACAGTCACGCCCTGCTAGCTCCACTTCTGAGCGAGACCTAACATCAATCTAGCTAAGCTAGCCAAAGTGCTAGTCAATGTTAGCTACCATGCTGGTAGCTAGCAAGACAGAGAGCCAGGCTGCACAGGAAGCAGCTTGTGTTTGGTGATATTTGTTGAGCTCTGTTGAAACATTACATATGAAATTATCTACCACTTCAGGAATGAAGGGACTCATGTTATGCTCATTCACTTCTGTGGCTAGCAGGAATGTTGGGAAGGTTGGAAATGTAATTCGTTACAATTACAAGTTACTCTATTTAAAATGTAATAGTAGTGTAACTATTTCAATTACTATATGAAAGTAATGTAAGTAATTACATTTGATTACTTTTTGATTACTTTTCTAAATTATGAATGAATATTCTCAACCGTTAACCATTTTGAAATTTTGTAACCTTACAGCAGTACTAAACACTGACTACTGCCAAACTCCTTTCAATACATGAATTAACATGATTATAACTAATCAATTTAATAAAGATACCAAACATACCATATAGGACTAATAATGATTTTAAACAACGGGTAAGAATAGATGCTCGCTTCAAACTCAGTGAAAACCCAGATTCCCTCAGTGTAACGTCATAACATTAATGTTACATAAAATATACCTAAAATGTCAACAAAAAAAAAATATGTTAAAACTCAGCCTTCAGTTATTAAATTCTAATCTGTGTTCATAATATAAACTTTTTGGGAGTCAAAACCAGATGAACTACGAGTGATTTGACCACTCCGTGATGCTTCAGGATTACATTATGATACAAACATTTTATATAGTGGTGGGTAGTGGTGGCTTGATGGTTAGGGAAGCGCACTTGTAATTGAAAGATTGCAGGTTCAAATCCCCGACCAGCAAGGCACCACTGAGGTACCCTGAGCAAGGTACCACCCCCAAGCACTGCTCCCCGGGCACTGAATTAGCTGCCCCCTGCTATGTCACGAAAGTCACATATGGGTTAAATGCAGAGGACATATTTTGTTGTTGCGCACTGTGTGCTGTGGTGTGTTGACAATGACCACTGATCTTCTAATTCTATACTTGCGAAAATAAATGGTTCCATTTTACTTCCGATCTGAACAGTTCTTGCATCAGACACTATATGAATTTTCAGATGATTGTGTAATCATTTACTCTGTTTAAGTCAATTTTTCAATCACAAATCACGGAGAAGCCTAAAACAGTGTCTTCGCAGCACTCTAAAATAAAATGGATTAGCAGAGTGGTAAGGCTGTATCGCCCAGGGGTTATAGCTATAGTCAGTGAATATTCAAAACTCAATACGACATAGCATGTCGGGAGTACTAATATCAGACCTAACATAAATTACCAATAACCTTAGCATGCTGATGGAGTACGGCACGTTTTCTGTCAACGGAATCAGAAGTGTTCACGCATGCTGTCAGTGTTTACGCTTTGTTTTGTTGTCCTATGCGCCGTATTTTATGATTGAGTTGGTCTCGTCGTACAGTCTGCATACCTGTCATAGTCAAGATTATTAGATCCGTATCGCACAGTGTGATCGGTAATGATTTTATATGATTGCTGAAATCACATAGTGTGTACCGGGCATTACACTTTAGAAGCATGGTGTGGCACGCTGAAGGTAGGCATGTCTTCCCTGCCTTGTTTAATATGACTGCTTGCAATTACAGTAAGCTGCACTTACCTCTAGATGTTTCCTCAGGTTGGGCATGGACTGTTTAAATATCGACAACATCTGCAAATGTAGACGCGACAGAATAACCATGCAATCATATGCGTCGAATAATTTCAAACTTTCGGCTGTGGAGGGAAATAGCAAAGGAGGATGTTTTGCATAAGAAAAACATGAAAAGCAATAAAAATACTGTTATTAAATATATTAGCAATGTTTTGCATACAATCATATGATGTAACTAAAATTGTAATCATGAATATTTCCATAAGTAGCTGTAATTTAATTACACTTTTTTTCTCTAGTAACTAACGGATTACAATGACATTTTTTGTAATTACATTACGTAACGCCGTTACATGTAACTCGTTACTCCCCAACACTGGCTAAAAAGGGCGTATGTTATTTGGGGGGGGATGGGCCGTGAAGTGACATTACTTTCTGATTTGTTGAGTATTAAGTATCTCGATGGCATAAGCTGGAAGGAGTGCCAGGCTGCATCACACACACACAAAAAAATTGCTTGGCATGTATGAAACTGCCAATTAGAGTTATTTATTGCATTGTTAGTTACTTGTTGAGCTATAGGAACCATTACAAATCAGTACAGACTACAGTCAGCAATCGCACCCCAGACGGGACTCAAACCCAAAATCCTTCATTTCTGAGACCCATACTCTATCTAGTAGACCACCGGGGCTAACTGATGACATCTTTTAGACCGTGGGTCGAAGTTAAACCGAAATTAATTGAAACTGGGGAGCCTTCATTGTTTATTAAACATTAACAAGGCATGTATACCACCTGGGGTCTCGTGGGGGGAAGCATGCAATAATTTCTTTGCCTTTTCAGAGTCTCCATAAAAATCTAATTCAGTTTGATCTATGAACCAGCTGATTATTGTACGTATTCCCCTCTCATACAGTTCTTATTCCACATAACGTTGATATAAATTATGAAGATACATTTTTAATTATTAAAGTTTTTGTAAATGACTAAAAAAAAAAACAGCTCGACTCGACCTATTGACTGCATGTATTGTAAAGTATTGTAGGCCCAATGTATAGACTATAGTCGGTACTCTTTTTAGTAGTTAACGCCCATTGAGTAGTCATAAAGCTCAAGATGACAGTTTTTATGAAAATGGGGGGTTGGGGCTCATACGTGATTGTGAGATAGTCCTTTTCACAATTCATATTTAAGAAAACTAAATAAAATTACTTGTTCAATGACTTGTAGAGATCTAAACCTAATTATACAAAAAAGCTAGTACGGGAACAGGGAAATAGCAGCAGGAGGCCCAAGCCGGGGTTCGTGACCCCGTCGGGGGCGGGATCGAGCGGCGCGGGGGGACAGACCGGAGCAGCTTCTACTTCCTGCTCCGGGGAACGCGAGAGAGAGAAGCGATAGAAGACGGGCTTTGCGCCACAGCCGCGACTCGGACAGAGGTACGGGCCAAAGCGCGCCGGTTTTCCTTGCGGCTGCCTACCGACAAGGCGCGCTCCTCCTGCGCAAGCCGCTACCACGCGGCCGGCTAGCCGGCTAATTAGCAGGTCGGCTAACAACACAGACCCCAACAAAGAGATGCGCTATGCGGCTAGGCTAGGCACATAGTGGTGCTGCGGTTCTAGTCGGGCAATATTTCTCCACGATGGGGAGCACATTGCAGCACAGGGTTAAATCAGTAACCTTGTGTTAAGAAAAGCGATAAAGTTAATCCGACAAGACGCTGTTCGGGACCCGGCGAGCTGCCTTAGCCGCCGTGCGCGGCCTCGTCCTGCAGGAGCGGACAGGCATGCTGCCGGTTTTCTCGTCGGATAATCCGCTGGATATCTGGGAGATATCGCTTCGACGTAAAAGGGGGGAGGTGGGCAGGGAGGGTACTGACTCTGCGCTGAATGAGCATTGAGGAAGCGCGGTTTGCTTCATTCGTTACGGTTCAGTTTGAGGTTAGGGGCATCTGAGCCGAGTAGTATGTTCCGCTTGTATGTACTCGTAATACTGCATGATCTGTAATATGCATGTTTTTGCAAACGTTTCCATATGCCGCACGTCCGGCTTTTCCTATATAAAACTACTGCTGAAAATGAAGTGGGTTAACCAAACAGAATGAGTTGGGTGCCCAGGGCCTAAGTGAAACATGTCTGCCAAGACATCCGTGTATAAGTCTATCGTGCACTACTCTGATGCAGTTTCACGGCCACTCTGGGTGAGTTCACATCTATTCCGTAAAGGTCGTGCATGATATGGAAGTATCAGAAGTGACACGTTCACAAAATGCACACAGGTTTATGGGGTTTCGAGTCTGCTGATTCGCCACAAGGTAAAGATTGTACAACAGTACCCCCCCCCCCATGAGAAATATCTTTGATATGAAGGGGCCAGTTGCTACTGATTTAATAGTGTAATTCCTGTCCAGGTGCTGAGGGTGTTGATGCTTTCCTTCAGCTGTGTTCTCTGGCATCTCCTTTCAGGGGCAGCCCCAACAGTGCCATGGCTGATGGAAGGATTTATGTAGGGAACCTTCCGACTGACGTGCAGGAGAGAGACATTGAGGACCTTTTTTTTAAGTTTGGGAAGATCCGGGACATCGAGTTGAAGAACAACAGGGGCACGATCCCATTCGCGTTTGTCCGCTTTGAGGACCCAAGGTTAGTTTGCAGCTCCCTAGAATAATGCTAGGATTCACCCCCAGCTAAAACCAAGGCTGTGTGCATGTAACAGCTGCTCAAACCACACCATAGTAGGTCAGTCGTAAAACTAAGTTTCATGATTACATCCATTCACTGCCAGGTTTTTGCCAATGTTCTTGTATTTGGGTTTACGGTTTAAGGGAAAAGATGAGGCTTCGGCACCTATAGTGCGTAGGCTTTGCTGCATGCTTTTCAGTCATTGCATGGTTTACCCCAAAAGGACCTGGTGAAATAACCAATCAGAAGTGGCTTTCAGCCACTTTTCTTGTTGTGCAGAATGATCATGCATAGCACAAGTTTCAAAGCCTCCTCCCTCCACTTTCCTCCCACCATCATCCATAGTGTGTGTCTCCTCTCCACTTCCCATGGAAACAAAGCTTTTCTCCCGTACTTGTCCCTCAGGGATGCGGAGGATGCAGTGTATGGGAGGAATGGCTATGGCTTCGGGGACTGCAAGCTGCGTGTGGAGTACCCTCGCTCCTCCGCCTCGAAATTCACTGGCCCCATGGGAGGGGGTCCCAGGGGGCGATTTGGGCCCCCGACTCGAAGGTCCGAGTTCCGTGTCATAGTGACCGGTAGGTGAAAGGCGGGGTGTTTGCGTGCATGCACGTTCTGCTCTAAAGACCTGCTGCCTCAATACTGCAAGACTGAGAAGCCAGGTTATGTAGCCATGAGGTTGTCAAGCTGGGGAGTGTTCCACAAAGCAGGATTTCTCAGTTAGCTGGGATAAGCTGGAAGTCATGATTGTCCAATTGGAATGCTTCTTACCTAAACTCTTAAGTTAACCCAGAGAAATCCTGCTTTGGTGAACAGCCCCTGATTCTTTTCAAATTGTTATTGAAATGTTGTGGATTGTTTTCTGGGTTTTTTAACTAAGGGAGTTTTATGTTGCCTGAACTCAATGGGGAAAATGGTGTCTCCCACCAGATCACACCTGGAACTTGGATTGGCAGATATATATGAAGCAGATCAGGCTTATATTGTGGTGTAGGCAGGCCAGTCTATCAAGGATTTTAAGACACAAGACTACTTTTTTTATTGTTGCTGATGTTGGGGAGGACACTGATGGTGTACCCCACATGGTGACTGAACATGCCCATCCACAGGCCTCCCCCCGACTGGCAGCTGGCAGGACCTGAAGGACCACATGCGGGAAGCAGGGGACGTGTGTTTCGCTGACGTCCAGCGAGACGGAGAGGGTGTGGTGGAGTTTCTGAGGAGGGAGGACATGGAGTATGCACTGCGCCGACTGGACCGGACCGAGTTCCGATCGCACCAGGTGGGCCTGTAGAGATTATCAGAACCCAGTCTTACCATAGTGCTGTGTGTCTTACTGACATCCGTGTTAGACAATGTTTGGTCCCAATGACTCTGCAGAGGTGCCTGTTTTGGGATTTTGCTTATATGCTGAGTCGTTTCCCTTCATGTATTCATGTATGTAGATGTGTCTTTATTAGGCAGTTGGAGACTGACACACCCAAGCAGAAGTAGGTCTTCTGAAAGTGGTTGTCACCACAGAAGGGATTGACATTGAATCAACTATTCTACAATCAGTTTTTAGCTCCTTAATGTGAAACTGGCCGTTGAGGGTGGAGGCAGAGCTGGGCCTAATTTTGCATGATGTTTTGTTTTTAAGTCATCAGAAATAGAGGCAATGAGATTTCCGGTTAAAATCACAGCAGTTCCAAACCTTAAAGCCACAGTGCAGATATTGTTGTTGCGGAGGGGTGTCCAGGGTAGCGTTTTCCCTTTAATCGGTGTCACATGGCTATGGCTTCCTTGCAGGGTGAGACCTCATTCATCCGGGTCCACGAGGAGCGGGGTTCCAGCTGGGGCCGGTCACGGTCCCGGTCCAGGTCTCGGGGACGATACTCACCCCCCTACCAAAGCCGGGGCTCCCCCCCGCCACGCTACCAGTCCCCACCTCCGCGTCGACATTCGCTGTCCTATCACAGCCCCCCTCCTCGCCGTCTCCCTGTACAGCACAGCCCACCACCACGCCACTACCGGTAAAATCAGAGGTTGCACTAATGGCTGGAAGACCCCCCCCGCTGGTTTCTTCCCCTTTGCTCCACACCATCCATGCCCCCCAACCCATTTAATTTACATTCCACAATCAGGACTGTCCCCAAAGAGAGATTTGCCTCTGAAATCACCAAGCCACCTGGGAATCTGAGTTGGTGTGTGTGTGTATGTGTGTTTGAGAGACAGACTGACAAGTCAGATTTGGCATATAGTTTTAATGAGCTTGATTATTGTCCTCCAGTGCACAACCGCACAGTATCAAAATTGGCACATTGTGACCCCTCAAACCTTGCCCCCCCCCTTTTTTTATTTTATTATTACCACCATCCCCTTTGTAAACACGAACTGTTCTGAATCCTGGTTGTGTTGTGGAACTAAGGGTTTGAGTCCTTTCTGGACACACCTGGCATTTTTGTTTTTTTTCTTCGTTATCTAAACTTCTGTCTGTTGACAGTTATGTGAATTTTCTTTTGTTTTAAATAAAAGTGGCAAAACAATTCTTAATTCCCCTTCATTATAAAAATGATCTCGCCCGTGTGTAAAAGCATGTGTAGTTGGTGATGATAGTCATCACCCTTGTGTAAAAATGCCAGCATTACAGCAGTTACAACGTTGCTGCAAATTTGACTTTAGCGATAGAAGGTTTGGAAAGGTATGGTGAGACTGTGATTTACGCAGGCGGTTGAGGTGGTTTTGTCTGCCAGGATGCACGTTTTGAGAGTTTTCTCTGCACTGTTCCCAATGACGTTTTCATGGGAGTGATTGCGTGGATTATTAGCTCTTCAAATCACAGTGCAGGGCGCTTGACCGCTTACTGTGTCTGATTTCCTTAGCTTGATTGGCAATTGTAGACATTAAAGCTCTGTTCGAGGTTTCGGTTGATGAATGGTTATTGATCGTTCCAAAACAGCCGTAATTAAGTAAGTTTAGATGGAGGAATGTGGACCCCACCGCGTAACAGTCATAGAGGACCAACTTAAATCTCCAACGCCTCTTTGTGCAATTATTTTTATTTCAATTTTGTTTTGCCAGAAAACAGTGCCAGCAACATAATGGCTTATAATCCCTATAAAATATCTCTGACCAAGAAGGTAGTAGAGAGTTTGATATTGGGGGACACAGTTTAAAAACAAAGGTCTTTATTCAGGATATAAATTAAGAAATTCTCCCCAGTTCTTAGGCCCCTGCTTTCAACAGAATATATGTCATACACAAAACCAAAGAATAAGGTACTGATTCAGATATTTAACAAAAACGTTGTCTTGGTTATCTAGGGGGTTTTTAATTTCACGGATTTGCGTCACTGCGCTTTCCACTGGTAAATTTAACACACATAGAAATTTGTCACTTACATGCTCTTATTTTCCGTTTGAATAGTGTTCCGAAGACTTAAAAAAGCATGGAGATATCAGCTTATCAAGACGGCAAAAAAAGATAAACATACAATTCAGTTGTAAGCAGTTTAATCATACAATTTACCTGGGAAAAGTATGTAAAAGGACGACTCTCGCAGGAGTCGAAGTGTTGGTAGTTTGATGCTGCAAAGCTCTACTGTGTACCCCTGCGTCGCATTCACGTGTCACTCGACATCCGGGCACAGAGATTATCTGCAGTCTAACAATTTACCGTCCATGTCCACGACGGACTGGAAGATGAGAAAATGTATCCCCTCTCTGTTGGACAGCCATCACTTGTAGATTTCAAAAACCATGACAATCAAAGTTAGTGGAATCCTCCAAAATGATGGTCTCGGGTAGGTTGTCACTCACTTTTCACGATTAATTAAAGCTACCCACCAAACACGTTAACCTATGCAGAAGCAACTTAGGCACGACGTCCTTCCCATTCATCTGTCTGTCTTCTCCTTATTGGGTCCCATGAACTCCACGCCATCAATAGGGATATCTTTATCTTTAATGGCTTTCTGTAGATGTAGATAAGGTACACCATTTAAGGCTACATTAAGTGAAACTGCTAGGAATAAAGAATGCTGTCGCTGCTTTGTTTTGAACAGAGCATTGTAAAATATACGGTTAAATTATTCAGGATAACTTTACACAAATCTACCAAAACCTTTCATTTAATCCACTACACTAATACCGTATGATATTAATAGCAGCGAGTTGCTACTATTCACCTGCACACATAGCTGATACTTCTTGAAAACCTCGGTACACGGGTCGCCGCTCCGGTCTCCTTTCAGGAATTTCTCTGCGAACCAACGGTTAAAGCACATGTCATAGTCTCGTTTTAGTTCCGTGCACTCCTCTCCAACACTGTTCATTTTCGACAAAAGAACAATGTACGATGTTACCAGCCTTTGTCCCTGAAAGCCTTAGCTATTCTCATCCCAGCGTTCAAATGACTTTCAGCACCACGTGGTTTAAAATTCGACTCTCCGGGTGGCGCGCTGTGATGACGCAACAGTAACAAGCGGCTGTGTCTTTATATGCTGTGCTAAAAGGTACTGTGTGTAAATATATATATACACACACGCGTGTGTGTGTGTGCGCGTACATGTGCGTATATAATATAACTACAATAATAATAATAATAATAATACGCATGTATTCTTCTTAGCGACAACAACAACAAAATAATAATAATATCATCATAACCATCATTATTATATACCTGGCACGGTGATCAGGGAACGTGCAATCCAACTGTGCTCGCAGATATGCTAAACGTTTCCTTCAGCCATGCGGTCATCCCCCATCCCACCTTTGCCATGTTCTGCTCCTGTCTGGCAGAAGGTACAAGATTCCGAGCTAGTTTTGTGAGGATTGGCACCCCCGATCCATTCCTCAGAATACCCTCTCCTCCCCTCACTGACCCCGGCCACTTTACATCATTATTATTCGTAATAATCAAATGAAACTATTGCTGCAATTATATACTGTGAAATTTATGCAACTTCATCTCTGCAGTGAATGTATTTCGTTTCATGGCCTTCCCTGCCCCAAGGAGCTCCGCTCTCACACACAGTGCACTGGTGAAGGTTCTTTTCTCTCTGAGAAGAAAGGCTGTTGAGGCTAGATGAACCTGAAATTATTTGGGTTGTAGCTGAATAACAACGTAAAATCCTTAAGTTTTATGCTGATGTGTCACCCCATGCTTTGATTTACTTTTATTTTGTAATGGATGAGAACCCAAGTACACGTATGTGAAAGACTTTACGATTAGAGGGGTTCTTAGATCTCAAAAAGCTCACTGAAGACGCAGAACTGCTTAATACATTGTACCATTCTGGAGGTAACTCTAGGTATCCGGTACTCCTTATCTGTGTGCATCGCCTTGGTAACTGATGGTTCTTGCCTAACCTGCTCTGAGGTTAGGATGTGGGGATTGATACTGAAACATTGATTTTCCATACTGTATCTAGGTATCCGGTACTCCTTATCTGTGTACATCACCTTGGTAACTGATGGTTCTTGCCTAACCTGCTCCGAGGTCAGGATGTGGGGACTGATACTGAAACATTGATTTTCCATACTGAATGTTTCATTTTGAGGTACTAATGTTAAAATATTGGTATTTTAACCTGGTAATTTACATGTTCATATTATTATAGGGAGCAGAACATAAACTATCAGAGGGTCAGCCATAAGGTGGGAGAATGCGGAAGACTTTCAGGGTTCCAGACATTAATTACTAGGGCAGAGGTATTCAAATGGCGGACTCCAGTTCACCTCTGGACCAAGAGACAACATAACATCCTGCAGATACAATGAGAGCCGGTGTGTCACAGATTCCAAATCACACAGCGTACCTCTCCCTTCCTGTTGTGTCCTCGTCCACAGCTACTGCTGGAGGATCTGGTCGGGCCAGTTTGGACACCCTGCCCATTTCCGTGGGTGTTCACACCTGGCACAGCCGGCTTGAGCCCTTCTGAGTGGCGCAGGCGTCACGCCGACACACAAACAACTTCGTGTCCTGGCTGCAGCCGGGCCGGTAGAAACGGACGGACAGTCCCCTCAAAGTCTCCACCGAGGTGGAGGATAGCGTCAGACATATACATGCACCTCCAGGCTCCAGGCTAAAGAACGTCAGTCTGCACCAACAGTCACTAGTATCCTTTCACCGTTGCTTTGGTGAAAGCATTTTAACTTATAACATCACCACCTGGTTTGGTAGCTGCACTGCGACAGACAAAACTGCTCTGAATCATCAGGATTGCAGAGAATATTACTGGCCCTCAATTACCTTTCCTGCCTGACATCTACAATTCTTGGTGTCTCCACAGTGCTGCAACCATCCTCGGCTAAGCATCATTCCCAGTGCGGTAACCAGGTACTGAAGGAATCACTTTAACCACCCCCCCCCCCCTACACACACACACCATTGTACTCTGTACATATGTTTTGATTTTGACATATTTACTGACTATTCTGTATTTGTACACGTCCCATCTTGTGTTGTGTCTGCACCACTACTATCCCCTTGTACTGTCATGTATAATAATAATACAGAAATGAATCCTGAATCTTGAACATGTGGCAGATTTTGCCAATCAGAGTCCGTCTGCAGTCTCCATGTGCAACTATTGTATCTATTTTTAATCTATTGGTTTAACCTCTGTATGCTGCTGTTATATGTGTTCGAGGCTAAATAGGCCTATGTATTATTTGACAAACATCACGTTATATTTTTTACGCATAGAGATGTAATTTCTGTTATTTCATGCAGGTTAATACACCAGGTGCGAGTTAAGTAAAGAATTAAAGAATTAAGAAAAAACAAGTATATATTCTCTTACTGGAAGCGAATCGTAGGGTGCTGCAGCTGAATCAGAGCAAACGCAGACCCTGTAGGGAAGAAGCCGTGGAGGGTGCTGCAGCTGAATCAGAGCAAACGCAGACCCTGTAGGGAAGAAGCCGTGGAGGGTGCTGCAGTTGAATCAGAGCAAACGCAGACCCTGTAGGGAAGAAGCCATGGAGGGTGCTGCAGCTGGGTCAGAGCAAACGCAGACCCTGTAGGGGAGAAGCCGTGGAGGGTGCTGCAGCTGGGTCAGAGCAAACGCAGACCCTGTAGGGGAGAATCCGTGGAGGGGGCTGCAGCTGGGTCAGAGCAAACGCAGACCCTGTATGTAGGTCCTCCTCCTGTATGCCTTGCAGAGCACAGCTTTGTGTTGGCTGAAAATTATTACAGTTTGCATTAAAATAAATTCCTTTAGAAATGAGAAGATATGAAATACTCAGCAGTTTAGATTATATTTTTATGTGTTAAGTTCTGTCCATGTTCGTTCGACAGCACTTGTTTTGCAGCCGTAACAGAATAGGTAATTTCTATAAAAACAGGAACTTCTTGCAGTGTCTTGACTTCTATAGCCTTCATATCCTTAACACAGATATATAGAGAACAGGAAAGCATAAAAGTTGAAAGTATTCAAATATGCCATAGAATGCATTTTTTTTCAGTATTTTAAATTGTTCTCTGGTGCCTATATGGAAAGTATATGAACTTGTTTGGTCAAAAACTGCCCAGAAGTGGTGTTACAGGCCCATTTACAACCCTATTATTTGGCCCTAGAATGAAACAGGCTGTTTTACCTTTTTTCCTGGGCCCATTAATATACTGATGAGGTTTGCTCTGATTGGCTGGTTTACAGTGAGGCACTGCATTGGCTCACAGAGAACCAACTTTAGCAACTTACATATAGCTGGAATCATGCAACTGAGCACTTCCTCCCATGTAAGGTGCTATCCGGAACTTTTAGGAAATGTACCTCTGAATAGGACTAGTGATACATAACCTGACATCAATGGCTGCACTTGTGGAGACTCTGCATGCAGGTCCTTCAAGAGAGAAAATATATTGTGGCACGGAGGTACCAGCAGGAAGCGTGGCAGGTTGGACTGATGCCAGCTTTGTAAATAGCTCTCCATAGTCATTTGTGTGCAATGTAAATTTGCGGTGTTTTTATGTCACATATAGTGCTGAATGATTATTGTTCATGTACAGAGCATCAGTGTGTGTGTGTGTGTGTGTATGTGTATTAGGAGTAAGCGGAGCAACAGGCACAGTGGGAAATTCAAGTGTGTTGCTGGTACGAGTGGTATGGGTACAGTAAAGCCACCAAGTGGTGGTGTGAAAAGAATATTTGACATGGGTAGGCCCGGGAGGGGAGGCATATTGGATCTGTTATGTCTTTGGCCTTAGGCAAGAAGAGACTGTTTTGAATACCTTGCCTCATAGTCAGTTTCGCAGGCCCAGAAGACCTTGAAGAGATGGGCAGCGGAAGTGGGGGGGAGAGCCACCTGCAGGAAGGGATTTGAAGCTGCTCCAACTGGTGCACAGAGAGTTGTAGTTATAAAGTAGTGGAAATAGGCCATACGCAATATGTTACGGTAGCACAAATGTATAGATAGTTACACAAATCATATGTTAACCATGTATGTACAGTAATATCTATATCAATATCTATATCCATATCTCAGTAGACATCTAGCGGCTGAGACATGTTTTAGGAAATTCAGCAAAATGGGTGGATGTGCCCTGCTACCAAGGTGGACCAATAGAGGAGAATTGTGTTTGTTATACGTTTGAGCTTGGTTTGCTGGTGTTATCTGACCAATTAGGACTTAGAAGTCCTTATAGGGAATTGGGTGTTATGGTTTATCAACTGGTTGCTCTGGTTGGGTACCTGGTGCCAGAGTGTGACTGGAGCACTTTGCTGGATTGCTTGAATAAAATATATAACTTTGCTCACCAACTGAGAGGTCCAGAGTTTTATTCTAAGTGGCTTAAATGGAGTTGTTGGAGAGGTTGCTTAATACATTTTCTACCACAGCTTTCTCAGCATATTGTCCATGACCTTGTCACTAAGGCTAGGCCCACCCCTGCTTCATGGACCCCATGCCCACCCCACTAGTTAAAATCTGCCTGTCGGCTCTCTGTCCCATTCTTGTTCATATCATAAACACATCTCTTTGCACAGGCTTGGTCCCCTGCTCTCTCGAAACTGCAGCTATCACTCCAGTTCTGAAAAAAGCTGGAGCAGCCACTGATGATTTAAAAAATTTCCAACATGCCTTTTATCTACAAACTGCTCGAGCGCACTGTGGCCACGCACCTTCAAGATCACCTGACCTCTTGCAGCCTATGGGAGGAGTTTCAGTCTGGGTTCAGGACAAAGCACAGCACTGAGACGACCCTGGTCAAGGTCGTAAATGACCTGCTCATTGGTGCTGACTCAGGCCATGGTTGCGAGATCTTCACGGTGTGCCCAGAGTTCGAGCGTTTTTCCTGTTACCGATTATCCCGTGTACCGACCTCTGCTTCGTGTTCCAGACCCAGAGCCTTGCTTGTCACCTGTTTCACTGCCGACGCCGATCGCCCGACCCACGCCCGATTTCCCGACTCCGATCTTTGCCTTCTCCCTCTGGACTCTGTCGTCAATCGCCCATCTCTCTGTGCAGTGCCAT